GTGCACAAGTCTCAAATGAGAAAGTGCCTCCCAACTGAGAGTTAATTGCTTTGTCAGGTATGAGCCTAAATTTGTTCCTCCCAATCCAGACACCTACACAGTCTTTAAGCCCTGGGCTAGGACTTTGGTGGCATTACTTGACTGGCATGGAGTCAAGATGTACCAATGGGTATAATCAGCTGATGCTCATACTGATACTTGATCCCAAACCAATGGATAATTTCACCCAGCAGTCCCATGTAGATATTAAACAGAAGGTAAGAAAGTGTAGAAACCTGTAGCATCTCACAAGAGAAAGACCATTCACATTCATCAACTGTAACCAATGACAAAGAAACAAACCCATCATCACAGAGCCACGCACCCCTAATGTTTGCTGCTGACCAAAGGACACCATAGTGGATATTAATGAAAGACACTGGAAGATCAAGGAACACAAGCATGGCCATAACCTATTCTGGCTCTGCCACAGAGGAGATAGGGGTAACTAATGTAGTCTCCATACTAGACTACAACCTGCCTACTGGAATGGATTCAGAGAATCCACTTCCTCTAGGGGTGTTTGACCTGAGGCCTCACTACCTTCTCCACCATCTTCTCTAAAGAGGGAAGGTTGGAGGATGGGCAATAATTGTCTATGACTATTGGATTTAATGATGATCTCTTCAGGAAAGGGCACATCACTGCCTCCTTCAAGACCAAGAAAACCACATCCAAGAGGCTGGCACTGCAGCGTAGACATTAGTACAATGACATAAATATCTGTACTATGTTCTAATGTCTAAGATATGTTTGCTCACTGAAAATAATATGTGGAGCTTAAAACTGTTTGCCTCTCCTTCCATCATCAGGGTAATTCTCTAAAAACTGGTGGGGGGAACTGGATTGTTGAGGTAATTCCCCGTTAGGAGAATGAGTGCATACAGGGAGACATATTTGAGAGTAGTGTTTGAATAACACACATACAGCACACAGATACACTGTACAGTAAATGTAGGTTTTTACTTCCAGAAAGGTTTAAGCAAAGTCCAAAATAAGCAGTCCAAAGTCATTCACAGGTAAAATCAGTCAGTTTTTCAATCCAGGGATAATCCAAATATCAAATTCCAGTGTCAAAAACAGTTCAGTATCAGACTTACATTAAATCCAGTAATATCAGTCAATTAGAAGAAATGGAGGAACGGCAATACTTTCCAACAGAAGGAAACAGAGATACACACTCAGACACACTCTCTTCTGAGACTCAGACTAAACAACCCAGGTTTCTGGCTCCATCTTATGGCTGTTTGAGAAACCACACCCAATTGCATGCTCTTGCATTCCCTTAAAGATATAGTACTAAATTGTTTATCCTGGTTTATATATTTCTAACCCAAATACCTGTTAGGTGACTTATATTCCTAACATGGATTATACAGTATTTTGTTGTGGTGGGCAGCTGTAAAAAACAATCTGGAATGTAAAATGGGTTTGGGGTTGCAAAGATTAAAATTACAGGGAAAATATCTCTCAATGAAACCCTATAATAGGCAATGTTTCGGAATGTTTCTAATTTGGTTTATCCTAAACAAATATAAAAGTTGGAGATTTCAGCAGCTGCTTCATCATATCTTGGTTCCCCTCCCCCCCCATTTTCTATTTACTGCCGACAAAGATATTGACATAAAAGCACAGTTGAGGCCATACAGAAGATTTATTAATAGCATCTTTGTTAATGGCACATTTGGGGGCAGCTGGGACATAGCAACTGTCATGGCCCCTTCGGAGCCTGGTTAGGAGGAGGAGGAGGGGGAACTGAGACCATCCAACAGGGATGGCATATCTCCTGTGGCATGTTTGGAGAGGCAGGGGCTGAGGATGCTGTCCCAGCCCCTCAGGTCAACCGGACGGAGAGCTGCCTGCCTGACAAACACAGGGGAGGACCAGCTGCTGACAGTCCTTGGTGATGACAGGCAGCAGATTTCCTCTGATGGGGAACAGCTGCCTCATCTACTGATCCAAGGGCAAGGAGAGTGGAAGTAGGCAAGCCCAGAGAAGGGCTGCAAGGCTACTCGGGAGGAGGTTGCCCCACTCCTCACAAGGAACACCTGGGACAGAGTAACTTAAGCCATGGGGAGTTATTCTTTGCCAGGAACAAATGTTTGTTTTGGGTTACACTTCTCTGGCTTTGACTCCTACCTTTCTGCCTTGCTTTGGGGATTGCCTTTTGGTTCAGTACCCTAGCCCTGTGGACTTTACCTTCAGAACTGCCTTTGCTTTGTACCTTGCCATTGTCCTGAGGACTGCCATTTGTCTTATGTCTCGACTTTGCCTTGTGAACTTTTCTGGCAATATATGGATTGTTTGGAGGACCGAGGATGGCCACCCCCTCCAATGTGGGGTGGAGTCTTACAAAAGGTCATTGCAGGACAATAAAGGACTCTCTACAGGCCTGCCTTGCCTTGACCATGAAATGTCATTACAGCCACAAGAAGCTAGAAATGTTAGAGTGGCATATACCATGGGCTGCAATCTCCTTTTTCAGGTGGTATCTTATTTCCGTTAGCAAACACAAGCTCTATACCAGGGCTACCAAACTCATGGCCCATAGTCCAGATACGTCACATGCTGGCCACACCCATGCCCGGGTTTAGCGAAGGGGAAAAAAGTTGTGGTATGTCATGTGACGCCACCATGAAAAAATGAGTTTGACACCCCTGCTCTATACAAACCACACCACAGAAAATAATGCAGGTTATCTGAACCTTATAACCTCCAGCTGTTTGGTGGCTACAATTTCAGTTCAGACAAACACTGGCTGGAATATTGGGAGTTCTTAACACAATTGTAAGGCTTCGGGAATAGGAAAAATGAAGTGAAAAATGGAACCAAAAGCAAAGGAACTGCTGGAGTTAGTCTGTCTCTGAAAAGTTCAGTATTTATAGAAAAGTTACAGAAAATATCTAAAATCCATGTCATTAAAAATGAAACATTGGTGCATGTTACATGCTTTTATGGATTAGGTGCCACTGAACCAAATGTAGAAATATAACCCTCAGCTAACCATTTTGTATTCATTGATGAAAAAGAAAAATATACCAAAAGAAATTTTCAAGAACATACCCATGAAAATGCAATCTGGCTTAAAATAATGTTTCATGATATTACTGATCTTAAAAGAGCAACACAGGCCTCTGATGCCGGGCTCTCCAACCTTGGCCACTTTAAGCCTGGCAGACTTCAACTCCCAGAATTCCCCAACCAGCTAGGAAATTCTGGCATATGCTGGCTGGGGAATTCTGGGAGTTGAAGTCCACCAGGCTTAAAGTGGCCAAGATTGGAGACCCCTGCTCTGATGGATTTGGCTGCAATAGAGCCCCCACCCCCCATGGGGCTATCTGGGGCAATTTATTTAATTTTGTGCTCACCCCAGAAGGAAATTTGAACTCCACCCATCTTAAAGTGACCAAATTTAAAAAACACTAATTTAAGGCATGAAAGCTTAATACAGTTAGTCAACTTATGAACACAACTGAGCCCAACACCTCTGTTGCTAAGTGAGACAGTGAATTTTGCACCATTTTACGACCATTCCTGCCACAGTTAAGTGAATCACCATAGTTGTTAAACTAGTAACAGGATGGTTAAGTAAATATGGCTAGCCAGTTGCCCAGCATCCAAATTTTGATCGCATTGGCCATGGGGGATGCTGCAATGGTCATTAAGTGTGAACATCGGTCATGTCACTTTTTCTTTCAATGAAGTTGTAACCTTGAACCATCACTAAGTAAACTGTTGTAAGCAGGCCTGTGCCTGTTCAATGGTAAAACTCATTTATATTTGCCACCCACCAAGATGTCTACTCAACTTTTGCAAATTTGCTTTTTCCTTTTACTATATATACCAGAGGCCTCCAAACTTGGCAACTTTAAGACTTGTGGATTTTAACTCCCAGAATTCCTCAGCCAGCTATGCTATGCTGAGGAATTCTGGGAGTTAAAGTCCACAAGTCTTAAAGTTGTCAAGTTTGGGGACTCCTGATACATACTGTATATTGGGTTTTTTTAAAGCCATAGTTTCCAGGAATTCCCCTATGCATAAAGTCAACCTCCCTGGGCAAGGCTGCTTCCCTGGGCAAGGCTGCTTCCCCCCCACTCCGGTCCGCCCCATCTGTTCCGCGTCTCACCCCTTCAAGCCTGGTCCAACTCCTGAGTCTACAACGACTATATCACTTGCTCCGCAGCCAGCAAGAAAACCACCGCCCAAGATTCTACCGGCCCCTATATATGCCGCATCTAATTGGTCCAGATACATCAGAACATAGAGTGCAAAGATTAGAGTCGCGCAAACAGTTGATTTCCGAGTTTCTCTCTGCAAAAAATAGCAGGCTAACTTTGAATCAGATTTTTGAGAGCCCCGAGCGGCACTACAGCATTCTAGGTCGTTTTCTTTAATTCTCCATTTATTTTCCAGAAGGGCGTAGATGGTTGGCGGGGTGGGGGGTTGGCTGAAGGGTGGAAGTGTGTCCCTCTGATTTTGTTCTTATAGCAACCAGCCTGTGAGGTAAGCTGAGTTATGAGTCGATGAATAGCCTAAATCCATTCAATTTTAAGCTTTATGAACGTGGATACCCGAACGCGGCTCTCAAAACAGACATCCATAGGGGGGGGGGGGGGGGAAGTGGAGGAGAAAAGACATGAAATTAAAATTTAATTCTAAAAAGACTTGCTGAAGCCTGATGATAGACGTGCCTTGAAATCTGTTCAAGAGAATGAATAATGAAAAGATACCAAGAAGTTTCTCCTCTTAATGCTCTCTTCAAATGCATAGCTCTATATAATAAACGTTTATTCTCTCTTCAAATGCATAGCTCTCTAATAAACATTTATTCTCTCTCTCTCTCTCTCTCTCTCTCTCCCCATAGCTGCAGCAATTTCTATGAAAGTAAATAAGGACATTATAAATAAGTGACATTATTATGACAGTGTGCTCAGTGATTGACAGAGAAAGTATGGGCGATAACGGAGCATGCGCAACACAGATTCCGTTGCCCTAGTGGTGGAATTATGCTAGGCCGGCAAGTAACAAGCCGAGATTGTGCGCATGCGTAATAGGCCGAGAAAGAGCCGGGGAGAAATACAGAACGGAGACTTATGCTGTATACGCATGCGCTGTTGAACAAGTGACTACGTAGTTGTGGAAAGGAAAGGCGTAAGTCGTATGGCGGGTCGATTAAACTGCTATGTAAGTCTGGCTTTGCTTTGTGGGTGGTAGGAAGCGGGCATCGTTAGGGATAAAGGAGCTACTGTAGGTCTTTCGTCCTCGGTGATTTTGTGATTTTGGATATTCTGTGCGTTAGTATCAGTTTGGATTCCTTTTTCCTATTTGTATTTTTGAAAAGCAACCTGCATGTTCTCAGAAGCCTTTGGTTCTTTGATCTATCTTATTGAGGCAGTTTCATATTTCATAACATTAAAATAATGAATGAGGACATCAGATATTTTTTTTTTATTGAACAGAGTCTTACAAAAAGCAGGTAGTGGGCATTGGAAAATGTTGCTCTGGTGGCATAATCATGATTGCTCGTACCCAGAGGCGTATTGTTAAAAAACAGCATTGTTAAGAAAGCATATTGGACCGAGTTTTTTTCAAATAAATGCCAGGTTAATGGTGCCGCTGTAAGACATTTTGTTTATTTGTTTGCTTGTTTGTCAAACGTACAAGATAACAAGTATAGATATGAACATAAACATGAACAAAGGAAGTAAATACAGATAAATGGGGACAGTAAGATGGGGACAGTAGGCACACTGGTGCGCTTATGCACGCCCCCTTCAAGGATCTCTTAGGAATGGGGTGAGATCCATGGTAGATAGTTTGAGGTTGAAGCTGTGAGGGGTTGAGACTGTAACAACGGAGTTGGGTAGGTTCCAGGTGTTCCTGAAGTCGTATTGTCTGCAATTGAGTTTTATTGTAATGCACATTTTATTGCAGCATTTTCACCTCAATCTTGCAGGATGCACATGTCAAGAGTGGTTAATAGTGATGACTGTAATGAAATTGGCAATAAGCATATTGAGTGCAGAAATCAAACCATAGGATGAAAAAAATAACCCACATCATCCTAGCTCTTGACATTATTTCCTTGGAATCATTCCTATAGCATCTGAGAAAAAGTCCTGTCTTCCTCAACACTTACCTCAGAAAATATAACCTAGTCACTAGAGAAGGAGTAAGGGGAGTGATATTTTGTAATTCCTCAGCTTTTTACTTTAATGTCTAGATGTAATATAGCTAGATGACTATATCAAATTCCTGGGAGTCTACCTCAGCGAAGATCTTACCTGGAAAATCAACACAACCCAGGTGGCCAGAAAGGCCCAACAGAGACTCCATTTCCTTAGGGTCTTGCGAAAGAATAAAGTGTAACAACGACTGATGACCTCCTTTTACCGGTCCACTATAGAAAGCGTCCTCTCATATTGCATTACGGTGTGATATGCTGGCTTGACAAGCGCGGATAGAAAGACATTACAGAGGATGGTGAGCACAGCACAAAATATCGTGGGCTGATACCACTAGATGACCTCGCTAGGGCTCGCTGCCTTAGAAGAGTGAGGAAAATTCTCAGGGACGACTCACACCCCGGTCAGCACTTCTTCACTCTCCTATCATCGATAGAAACATAGCCAGCCGCACCAACAGGCTGAAGAGCAGTTTCTACACATGGGCTGTCAGCCTTCTGAACGGAAAATAACTTCATGTCAACATAGTATGATAGACTTGTGGGGCTGGTGCGTTGTGCAACAAGGTCACATGGTGCAATAAGATTGGGACTGGGTTCGGGACTTCTGTCCTCACTGTGAGTTGTGTTGGGGGTGGGGCACGAAGGGAGGCTCAGCCAATCTCATTGTACACATGTTGTACTCTGACAATAAAGGTAATAATAATAATGATTATATAAAGAGATTTGTCTACACTTGGTTACTCTTAGAATCAGCTTAATGAGGTGTATTTGGGTAAGAATCTGTTTCAGGAAGTGGTGAACTTTCTTCTTTTAGAGACATGGGTAGAACCTGAATGGTACTATGTCAGGAATGCTGCCATTCTGATTTCTGAATTAGGTTCCTGGATTGTATGTGGTAGTTGGGTTCTTAGAGTAGCCTTCAAAGACTGAATTTGCTCCACACTACCTGATTGCTATTTTTTTTCAAATCAACAGAGCCAAAAATGAGACGATCAGCAGCTCCAAGTCAATTGTTGGGTCATTCAGCCAAAAAGCCAAGATTTATACCTCCAGGAAAAATCCTGCAGAAAACATCTGAATATGTAGATCCAGAAATTAAAACAGATGAGGTAATATTAAAAGAGAAGACCACAAAGACATTAACATTACTTATATGAACAACTAATGGAAACTTAAATTCTCCTTCATACAAAAAACGTTCCTCCACACTGAACATTAGATATCAGGAGCATGTGTATCTTTTTATTATATATTTTGTTTGGTGTGGAGGTTGTGTAAATCATCATACAGCTTACACATATTGCTTAATCACCACAGTTAGCCATCTCTGAAATATCCTGACCTGTCAGAAATTTGCCCTTGTATTTGGAGTTTAGGCAACAAAACTCCAATACGGTATTCAGCAAAAAAGAATTAGCTAATTACTTAGCAAAAACCAATTCAGTTCATATACTCTTTCAAAGGGCAGGTGTACAAATTACCCAATCCTATGGTATTTCCTCAATCATGAATTCATTTGGATTCTTACCCATTCCTCAGACATTCTGTTTCTCTATTTAATCAGGATGCATTGTGGAAGAGTATAAAAATGGGTCCTAGCTTCATCCCCTTTGATATGACTTGCTGTCCAGAAGAATTTGGAGGCATAACTTCTTTTTTTTTTTTTTTTTGCTGTGCAGACTTCTCACATAATGATTCTTTTAGGGAGATAAATAAAATGGGAAATGTACAAAAAAGAAGTACTTAGGAAGTAATAAATCATAAACTAATGATTTTGTCCAGACTTCCCAGATATAAATTGATCAGCCATTGAAATTAGACACCTGAATAGAACTCTAGATCTTGTTTCTTGTGTTGCACTCCATATTGCTGCCTAAAACTTGCATGTATTAGCTCATGTGTCACAGGGAACTGCCTTCAGCTCAAGAAAGTCTCTTCTTTTTGGTTTATTGAACTAATTCTTTATATCACAACTGAGCCATCTGAGGAACTGCAAATAAGATCTGTTAATTTGGATTTGCTGTTCATCTGATCAGTGTCAAGAACTGTTTCCAGAGATCTTCCTATATTTATGTTTATTTAGATTGGTGTATCTTCATATGGCGTTCTCTTCCCTTTGAGGATGTACTAAAGGATATTTGATATTTCAGTCTTCAGGCAGGAAAGACACATATTTATTTTAAAGTTGTTGCATGAATATTCCATAATAGATATATATTCTGTCTTGTAGGTGTGCGAGAGACAATTATGTAGCTCAACTTCTGTAAACATTTGTTCTACAACTTCTGGCTTTCATTCTTCTGTAACTGTAAATTCTAAGGAAGAAGAATTGCCCTGTGAAAACAAGAATATGATGATTGGGCATTTGAAAACTGGAAGGAAATCACTGTGCAAAACAACAGTAGGTAGGAATATGCATGCTTTAATGTAAAGCAGAATAGTTTTTGAAATATTTTCTGAAGGAAAGCTGTAGAAACTGAGTAACTTTGGCTTCAGGACAGCTCTTCAGGATAAGGTAAGTTTACTTGTGTTATACTTATATACAAACAAATAGTTGCTGTCTCAGGACTGAGGGATAAAGTTACATATGCAGTATATGGGGTTGTATATATCAATATTTTCTTACTGCAAGTACCAGATGCATCCAGATTTACTGAGGAAACAAGAATGGTTGCTACTGAAACAACATGGGTTACTAAAGATATCAGTAATTTGGGAGATGGTAAGAATTGTTAGAGTATTGTTATAGTGATAAATGCAATCTTTGTATTAAAAACATCAGCAAAATGTTCTGGCCTCAAGCGCCATTATAAGATGGCCAGAATGCTTCTCCTTTGCAAAGCCATCCATTTTTTTTTCATTTTATGTGCAAGATCTTGGCCATTTAGGGAAAGGAAAAATCAAGTGCTTTTGTGGATCTGGCCTATTGAAAAGATAAGAAAACAAGTATAGAGCAGGGGTTTCCCAACCCCTGGTCTGTGGACTGGCATCGGTCTGCAGCATGTCAGCAACCGCTCTCCACAAACAAGTTGAAGCCTCATCCACGGGATGCAAGCAGCATGCAAAACCACGCCCCCTCCGGTCTGTGGAAAAATCTCTCCATGGAACTGATGCCCCAAAGGTTGAGGGGCGCTAGTATAGAGGACATGTTTGCCTTATTGTCAAAGGAAAAAATAGAGTCTAAAATATAGATGAGGAAGGGCAGGAAAAAGAATATGTATCAATATATATAATGGGTCAAAAACAGTGCTGTAATAGAGAATGCTCAATTCATATTATAACCAAGTGATAGTATTTCCCATTGCAAAAGAAGATTTGATACCGAATAATTACTTACATCAGTGACTTGGATTCTGTTGCAGCCTCCATTTGATTGTTGGCCTATCATCATGATGCATACGGGAAGGCGAACAAGGAAATCTTTCAGCTAGTTCTTTCTAAGGTTCTTGTTCAGCTAAGACTGGGCAACCTAGCAACATCCTGGAAAACTAACTATAAACCTGAAAGCTAGCTATAAAGCTGGAACAATCTACAGCTAGTTATATGTCAAGATTCATTCACTTTTAAAATACTTTTCAAGTCCCCCAAGTGGATGTTTCTTCCTTAGTATTAATTTTGTTTCGTAGAATTCTTCCAGGAATATCTTTTTATCATTAGACTCCAGCTCAGATTTCCACTGTGATGGATTTATTAGAAATATAAAATAAGAGCTACTTTTCAAACTCAGGCATTTAGTTTGCTGAATGCTGCGAGCCTTCAGTCACTTAAGCCAGCTCAGATATTCAGGATCTGAACGACTTGACAATTGAATGTTCTGGATAGTACTCTCCATCCCTTTTCAGTAAGCATTACTTTCATGTTATCTAAATAAAAGCCTAAAGACACACAGTATGCAAATATACTTTATGTCTGCCAATGATTACACTGAATTTGTGATTGCCTGCAGGTAGTTGACAATGTATGATGTTGGTGAGCCTTAATTGAAGCATTCGTGGTGAATATTCTTAGTTAACCCCTAATTGTGTTCTATACTGAAGGGATTTCAATTGATTAAAAACAATCAGATTTACTTAGGAATGGATGTGCTTTGCGTTGTCTGAATTGTAAAACATTCCATACATCCCAGTTCTTCATCATACTATTAAAGAATTCTTCAAGCATTTCATGTACAGGGTTTTATGTATGCATTAGAGGCTACACTGCTAGGGTAAATGTTAAATTTGGGGAACTCTACATTGTACTTTTTTATAGACAAGAAGCAAAACTTCTAAGACCTTTATTTTGGAGGAGGAAAAGAGACATTGATTGAGAAAAATAACAAGATTATTTCCCCCCAATATCTATGATACAGAGGAAGTATTTTCTACTTTGTATTATTTCATGATAGCATGGGTGCTTTTTCCTAAATATAAAATGGATTCTTCCTGACTTGCTGTTTGCACTGTCCATTCAGAATTGTTCTATCTTCTGTGTTTGCTGTAAGAATTGCTTTTGAGAAGTTATCCTTTAAAGGAGACATTTGATTGCTGAGATAATTTTTGCTGATTTCCTTTGTTTTAATATTTCTGTTCATTGGAATCACCACCAATGCAGTCAAGGAGCTTGAAACAATGAGTATATATACTAGTCTAGTGAATCTGGCTGTGTTGCCACATCTCACAGGTGCTCCTGACCACGGGCATGTTTTCAACAGCTTGGTTCTTTGTTTATGAAGTGATAATCCACTAAGCTTTGAGTTGTGTTCCTCTGCAGAATTTCAAATTTGCTTTTGTGATCTTGTTCTTTAAATGTCAGTATTTGTCAATCACTTTTTGGTGGCAAGTCTAACCTATGAAATCTTACATTGAATTCAGCTTGTTTCATTCTGATAAACACTACTCAATCTTATCTTAGAAAGCTAAAACAACAACAAACAATAATAATATAAATAGTCTGGTTGGAGCTAACAATAAGTACCATAATGTAAAGTTTGTCTATATACAGTATAAAAGATACTTCAATAATAAAAATGGTAAGAATGGAATATCCTAACAGGCATGCTTTGTTTATTGTCATTCATATGCCATTCATTCCACATTATTCTATTATTTTACCTTTCTTCAAAACAGTTTAGGACTTGTATCATGATGTGATATGATATAATTTCAGTATATCAGGGACATAAGATGACAATATAAATTGGTCCAGGTTTTATTTAGTACAATTATATTCTACTTTTCCTCTAAGGAGTTCAACAATTTAAATCTCATTCCTTTGCTTCTTCTCATTTGATCATCTGGCTTTGTCTTAGTCTGTAAAAGATTAATGTCATTGGATAAGATGGTCTTGAATTTTATTTTCAATGTTTCTAATTATATTTCAGAAATATGTTAATGTACAGCATGAATGTATAATTTGATTATAGTTCTCTAAAACGGTTGCATATTTTCCTAGACTTGTGCTGCAGTTGTGGAAGGCTGTCTTTTAAGATTCTGCGTTCATTTGCTTAAATTTAAGTAAAATAATATTCATTATAAAAGAGAAATAATATAATGATAAAATGAAGGGAAGATCTTTCCATAAAGATGACTGTGGCTATTAATGTTTTTTAAATCTCTGTATGGATTATTCACCCTTGATATAAATAAAACTTCATCTAAAGTTATGGTGGGTTAGAGATTTTTAGATCTTGATTCAAGCTAGAGCATTCCAAGAAATACTTTCTATTTATAGTCTTTAAATTAAAAAAAAGAAAAGAAAAAAAAGCATTATCGATAATGCTTAATAATGCAGTAAGATAATTATTCTAAAACCTATATTTGGATAATCTATCTTTCAGTGAACAGATTTCTGACTTTTCCAGGACTGTTTCTCAAATCTGTTATGGGAAAAAATGTTATTTCATGTTAATTGCCATGGGACTTGTGTTTGATCATGTAGTCTTAAAAAGAAACTCTGAGAAGAGGCAGGCAATTTAATTGTATTCCATTATACACAGGAAGATTTTATGTTCCACCTCAATTAAGCTAGAACATATTTGGTTTTCACACAATATTGTAAGTTGTATGGATATAATCATTTGACCAGGAACTTGAAAATAAAAATAAAATAATATAAATATTTGAATATTGTAATATTATAATAAATATTATAATATAAAATATTGATTAACTGAATCAAGCCAGCCATGACTTCGTTAACTATGGTTAAACAAACCATGACTTATGTTGTGTGAGACCCAGTGAATGTTTCTCTTATAGTTATGACTTTTGTCTGTTTGTTACAACAGCCAATTAGGTAGAGTAAGCCAGGCGGTAATGACTTTAATGACCTGGAGTGGGTACCTGTTTTTAAGGCCATCAGAGTGTCTTGTTCTTGTCTTTATATAACTTCCCTAAGAAGCAGGGAATATTTTGTGATTTGAAGATAAAAGTAAAGATGGACCTGAGGTTTAATTTGATTCCTACATCCCTGAAGGGGTACAAAAATAGTTTGAAGTGAAGTGTAAGCATAATGCTCCTCAGGACTGTGCTCCATACATAAGGTAGAACTGTGATCAGTGATGGTTATGTGATAATAAATTGATGAATTCTTAACACTGCTCTTGTTACATGACAAGCTGGTAAGTTGACAGAATGATTGAATTTCTTATCACAAGAGAATTATGGCAGGGTTTCCCAAGCTAGCATCCCTCATGTCTGCGTAGCAACTTGCATCAATCTTAGCTCCTTCCTGCTTGGATACGATGGCTCTTTTTTAGCCTAGCTCATTTGAAGGTCATTAGAAGGGCAACCAGAATCTCGACTGAAGATTGTCCTTAAGATGCACCTCTGGAGATGGGTGCTCCCTGCCATGTGATGGATGTCTGTAACGAGTTGCACATTTATAACTGCAGCTGTAAGGAGGGGACCCCATTTCCGCTCTTTCCTCTCCCTGCTCTGTTGAGCATCTGCCTCTTTAAAAAGTGTGTGCGCGCATAAAGCCCAAGCCACACTGCAAAGTGCTGGGGAAGCTTAGCTTTGCTGCGAAGCCCGACCCTGAGTGAAACCTAACTAGCTAGGCAATCTGCAATTCCTGATTGACAGCAGGACTAGCATTATGCAAATGGAGCCTGAGGGAAGAGCCGCTGGGGAACAGAACCGTGATCTGGGGGCTCTGTTTGGGATCTCCACACACGCCTCCTCTAAATCCAGTCGTCTTGCTTGCTGTTGTTTTCCCTCTTTCTCCTTTTTGCAGAGGTGGTACAGCTTAATAACCAATAAATGCCTCCCCTTCCTCATAAAAAAGTTGTTCTTTTATTGAGCATGAATAAATCCAGTCTTCTGTGCAGTTCTTTTTTTTTTTCCTATCAGCAAAAGAGATGTATGTGTGTAAGCTCTAAACTCAGGATGAATTGGATAATATTTGGCAGGGTAACGTGCTAATC